TTGAAATATTTTCAACAATGACGCAGGGGCCGTATAATTTGCTGACCTATATTAGAGTATGCTGACCGAGCATTTCTGATTCGATTTTTTTTTTCAAATTGCATATCTGAATAGAATATAGATATATAAATGCCACCAGTGAAATTATTATTATTCTCAATTTATTTTTTAATTTTTGATTATCGCTAGCTGGATTTTTCGATTTACTCTCAACGAGCCTTTTCATTTGATACTCATAGTGTAGAAGTATATTGAAAATAGATTCCGCCATCTTGGATGGTTCGCCATATTGAATTTAGAATAACGTCACATTCTTTCTCGAATTACTATCAACGAGCCCTTTTATTTGATACCCATTTTGTAGAAGTAGATTAAAAATGACCATTCCGCCATCTTGGATGGTCCGCCATATTCGATTTAGAATGACGTCACATCATTTTTCGAGTTACTCTCAACGAGCTTTTTCATTTGATACCCATATTGTGAAAGTATATCAAAAATAGCTATTCCGCCATCTTTGATGGTCCGCCATATTGGATTTAGAATAACGTCACATCATTTTGCGAATTACTCTCAACTAGCCCTTTTATTTGATACACATATTGTAGAAGTAGACTAAAAATGACCATTCCGCCATCTTGGATGGTCCGCCATACTCGATTTAGAATGACGTCACATTATTTTTCGAGTTACTCTCAACGAGCCTCTTCATTTGATACCCATATTGTGAGAGTATATCAAAAATAGCTGTTCCGCCATCTTGGATAGTCCGCCATATTGGATTTAGAATAACGTGACACAACTTATCGTGCATTGTAATCCAAACTGAACGTGCATACAAAATTTCAGCTCAATCGGTTGAAGATTTCTATATACTTCAAAATTGAGTTCAAAGATTCCACCCGAACATACATACATATACATCCATACAAACATACAATGCAAGTTAAATGAAAGCTTTTGAAATATTCAAGGACAGAAAATAGAAAAATGGAATATAGGTATTTTTGAAGAATGGCCTTTGATGATATGATTGTTCTCTCATAAGAATGATATATAAAATATATTTTTTCTACAAACGTCAAAAAATGACAAGGTTCGCGCATTGATAACAAATTGCGAAGTGACACTTTTTTCAGTTTCCTACGTTACCATGATACCTTGCACAAAACAATGCGCGAAGTAAAACAGTGCGCGAAGTACCTACTTCGCGCATTGTTACGTAAAATATATGAGATATTTATATTTCAACCTCATAGTCCTCAATCGAGCAAACATCCACGAAATCATTTATTTCTGGATGTCCAACAATAACTTTGTTCTATCTCTTGAAACGCACGAAAGGAAATTCCTATTTGGTATGCTCGTGGAACATCGTGCGTAACTAGGGAAAGGGGAAGGCCTTTTAAGCCAGTTCAACACTATTTTTTATGTCAAGCTAAGCATATTTTTACATTAGAACTATATTTTTTGACGTTCGTAGAAAAAATGTTGTTTGCAACTCGAGCGCGAAATACTTTGGTCATCTCGACTATTTTTTTAACTCGGCTTCGCCTCTTTGAAAAAATCAGATCTCGATCACCAAAGTAGCATTTCGCGCTCTAGATACAAAAATAACTATTTTGTCTCACGACTGTTTTGTAAAGTGAAATAATCTATTGAATCTCGTTTCGTGAATACTATTTATCAAAAACTTTACTATTCATTACAAAGCTCTTCCGCCATATTGAATCCACTATCTCGAATTTTCTATAATTTTGTCCATTAATCTTTAACCTCGAAAACTCCCAGATACCAATTTTGAATAGAATCCGATTATAAATTACAAAACTCGTCCGCCATATTGGATCCACCATATAGAATTTTTGACGAAGGAATCATAATCTCCGACCATGTAAACCCCCAGATACCAATCATGAATAGAATCTGATCATAATCACAGAACTCGTCATATTGGGTTCGCCATCTCGAATTTCCTAATTTTGAAGAATTTTTGAACTTATTATCCCATATTTCAGATGAATACAATAAAAAATCAAATATCATGAAAATTGTTCCAGCCGTTGTTGAATTAAAAATGGTGTAACTATCACGAATTTGGACTTCCTTGTATATAGACAGATCTAAACATTCTAAACAATCTAAATTCATCGATTGTTTACCCTTAAAACAGTGCCCCATATCCAAATGCATCTTCAGCTTCTAAACTCTGGAGTTCTCGATCAATTGAATTTCCAAAATTTCTACTTTCTCACACTCATGTCCATTTATTTATTGTCAACTCACGTTCTTGAATTTTCCAGCTTCACATAGGTAGGCACAATAACACATCATGAGTAATCATAATTCGAGCACAATGGAAAACTAATAAAATAACATAATACCATAGATTCATAGATTAAAGATTGAAATCTCTTATACATACCAAGGAAGTCTTATACTGAAAATAATTGTGGTTGCAGTATCGTAGATTAATAATAATCTACATGTACCTACCAATATATTAGAAATCCAACAAAAACTAACATTTGACAACTCCGCTTCTATACGCTGAATGCCATGTTACAGAAATCTGTAAAAAATCGAATTTGCGACCACGCGCGGTAATTCGCAATAGCGGCGATAGATGGTAAAAATTCGGGGTCCCAACTAAATCCCAAACAAGCGTTACCGTCTGAATGCATGGGCGGTGTATATCTAGGGGAGTCGTTAATCTATGGTTGTAAGAAGAGTTCTTTTTTTGGCCATTCGGAGTCAGGAATTGCAACCGATTTCCACCAAATCATTGTATGCGTGAGGCCTGTTCGTTTGTATTGCTAAACTTGCTAAAGTTGATTCTTTTTCCATAGTTGTCTCTGTTCATGGCATGATGTAAACAAAGTAAGTCATAGAAAAAAATCGAGTTCAGCAGGTAGAGCAAGGACAAACGAACACGCCTGATGTACCATGTACCAAACAAGCAGTAAACGAAAACCGGGGATTCCCCGAGTTGTAAGTTATAACCACGAAACGCATTGTTGTCACGTATTCATTTTTAACGCAAAATATCAAGGACTTTTTGCTCCGGTATTTATTTTGTAAAAAAGAAGTAAATGATATATATCATGATATATATCAATCAATAAATATCAGATATATATCATGATACATATCATGATATATATCACTTGATATATATCGGCCAACCCTGATTTTTTGCAAATTAGGAATTGGAATAAGATGAAACTAACTCAATATATCTAACTACGATAATGAATCAATTGAATAGTGAAAAAATTGTAGAGTTACCTACAATGAGTCCGAAAGAAACTAAATATAAAGAGCGCGTAAAAAATGGGCCATTATACCTACCTACCCAAAATTCGCTGTATTACGATTTCGCGGTAATTCCTTGGACTGGTAAAGGGCGATATACTTTTTATCACTTATTTTATTTCTAAATGGCGTATGGTTCAGACCAACTAATATTGGTGTCTGAAAAATTCGAAACAATATTTCTACAATGTAAGTCATAACATTAAGTTTTGGAGAATTTAGCAGAAATTAAAATCAATTCCCTGCTCAATTATTCCGAGAATCAATGTTGCAGTTGTGGGTCTTTTGATGGAATCAGCAGAACATTCTCTAAAACCATTTCAAATATTCTGTGGAACAATTATTGCAAAATAAAAAAAATTAAAAAGAAAAATCACTTATCTTTCAGGCTGAGATATAGTTCAGATTTAAATTTTTAGTTTGTGATTTAGATGATGTATATATATATTTTTTGTTATTAGTGTATTTCATTTTGTGATATCCATCAATTTTTTTTATTTTGTTATGTTGATCATTTTCACAGTTTATTTTGTTTGGTTTTGTTTGTGTATAAGGATTCAACGTTTTTTTTTCATTTTTTTCCTTATTCATTCATATATCGTTGTTCTGGGTATTTTAATTATTCAGTTCGTTATATTCATTTTTATATCTCTCATTGTTGAAATACATATTTTTTCAATTATTTTTGTTAGGTTGTGTTCATATGAACTCCATATATTTTGATTTTTTTAATTTTGATAGTTTGCAAATATATCCAAATCAAATTTTTTTCATGAATTTAACGTTATCATTCAAATATATTATACTCTTCAGCAGAAAATAATTAATACCGAATAGGCGTTTCAAAGTGCGACCTGATCATGTTTAGAGATAAACGCTGCTAAAACCCTTCGAGATAAAGTGGATGTGTATTATACCGATTTGTAGGCAATAAAATTTCCTACAAAAAAGTCAGTGACAGCATATATCCATAGTTGATAGGATTAGCATGGGAGGCGTCCGAACTTTTTGAATTGAAGTATCGATTTGTTGTTGGCCCTTGGGAATTTGAAAAAAAAACTCAGTCAATCTAGATACTATGCGAAATCTTTTCATGATTGAATCATTTCTGTGAATTGAATACTGGAATTTTGGTAGCTGTTTAAAAAAGGACAATTCTGAATGGCGTCAATTAATTTTGATATGGCATATTTCTGAAATTAATGATAGTAAATCAGTGAAATTTGATTCATCTCCTGGAAAATTCTGTTCTGTACATATTTGTCCTCTTGATATTTTTCGCTAACTGTGACCGTTTTCCCGAGGTAAATCAATGAAACGGGAGAGACATTTTCTACTGCGTTGATTTTGTCCCTACTAGTGTGGCGTCACGAAAGCGATGCTCCGGCCCGGTGAGATAGAGTAGGCCCTGTGTGGAGGCAGATAGCCCGAATCCCCACTGTAATTCTTAATAAAAAAAATCTCGTATCAGATCCTATTCTGTCGAGAAGTTACTTGTTTGTTGTTGAATGTATCAATGGTCTTACCGTGAGTAAGATATATGAAAGGGCCTGAATGCGTATGATCCATGTTCTTCAATTCGATCTCGTGAGTGGAATAGCTTGTTTCTTATCGCATTAGTGGTCTAGATAGTAGTTCATGTCAAAGTTCTTGGTCTTCAAAGGTTTATTACTATTTTATTCAAGGATCTGGTCGAAAAGTTATTGGTGATTGATCCGAGGCAACGGTTAGGGGCGAACGACGAGAAACGATACACCAGTCTGAGGGATCACGCTTTCTTCAACGGGCAAAACTGGGATGATTTGGGCCCACCGCCTGCTATGTTCGATACCAGGTAACCAGATTTTTTTCTGTGACGGGAAAGGACCCCGCACTTTTAGTACGTAAAATGGTTCTCGGTGAAATTTTCTGAATTTTCAGTATGTTGTAGAATTCGATGAACAGATCGAACCTGCAGAATCGTAAAGTTCTTTGATGAACAGATTCTGAGATACAGGGCGTTGAAGTTACAAATCGGTATTTTTCATTTAATTATTTTCTCCAAATTCAAAGATGCCAAGTACAATTTTCTTCGCTCATATCATTAACGAACCTCCATATCACTCAACATGATTCAGATGGTTCAGATAATGTAATTGTTTACAGAGTGAAACATATAAACATTTCAGTGATGTCTGAAAATTCGATGTAATAATGAAATATCGAAAAAATAATTTTGGCATGCAATATACTATTCTCATTCCATCATGAATCACAATTCATACATTTCATACAGGGTGATTTGAAAAATTGGTGACACCTAAGACCGATTTATTCATACACATCCTGTATATTCGAGTGAATTGTTAATCTCAAAAGATAGCTGATACCGTATGAACATGATTTCGTTGAGATATATAGGGTGATCATGAAGATTTTCGATGATGAAAATGACAAAAAATCGTGTTTTTTGAAATCACCCTGTTATTCATGATTAACTCGATGAAATTCCCTAATTATTTTTTAATATATTCACCATTCGCTCCTCAACGCTGATGTGAAAATTCAGTTTCCTATCATAACGGGTGTCATAGTTATTAACTCAGGAACTTACCATTTGCATGAAGAGTTGAAGAGACTTGTTCACTTACATTCGTATAGTGGCCGATATTTTTCACAAATAGTGGAACGTGAGAATGTGGAGACGAAAATAAGTTTAGTATTCATATACAGGGTGAACATTAGAAATTCAATAACAATAGCAGATATATGAATTTAATAATTAAATAATATTACTACTACCAAATTGTATCATACAAATACTATATAGTATCATCCTATTTTGTAGTGATAATATTGAATGATGAATAGTGACTGGCTCCTATGTCATTATGTCCCATACAACACCTTTTCATATTTATCGCTGCTATTTCGGAAACATCCAGTATAATAGGATTATTTATATTACACCATCATACGTATTGAATTATATCATTGGAATGTGATATGAATATGAATCTAATGATAGTATAATAATTACTGATAGCAAGCTAATATGAAAATGATGGAAACGCCTGATTCTTAGTGGAAAACAAATGTGAAAAAAATCTGTCGATTCCAGGATTCAACTCTCCCTATTAGAAATAGAAGCGTGAAAGACCGAATCATTCTCCCATCTCCTGAGGTATTGTTCGTTTTTCATTTTGGCAGAGCTTGTATACCAACGAAATTCGCCTAACTATCTGTACATTATATTAATATTATTAAATTCATATATCTGCTATTGTTATTTAATTTCTAATGTTCACCCTCTATATGAATACTAAACTTATTTTCGTCTCCACATTCTCACGTTTCACTATTTGTGAAAAATATCGGCCACTATGCGAATGTAAGTGAACAAGTCTCTTCAACTATTCTTGCAAATGGTAAGTTCCTGAATTAATAACTATGACACCCGTCATGATAGGAAACTGAATTTTCAAGACAGCGTTGAGAGGCGAATGATGAATATATCAAAAAACAATTAGGGAATTTCACCGAGTTAATCATGAATAACAGGGTGATTTCAAAAAACACGATTTTTTGTCATTTTCATCATCGAAAATCTTCATGATCACCCTATATATCTCAACGAAATCATGTTCATACGGTATCAGCTATCTTTTGAGATTAACAATTCACTCGAATATACAGGATGTGTATGAATAAATCGGTCTTAGGTGTCACCAATTTTTCAAATCACCCTGTATGAAATGTATGAAATGTGATTCATGATGGAATGAGAATAGTGTATTGCATGCCTAAGTTATTTTTTCGATATTTCATTATAACATCGAATTTTCAGATATCACTGAAATGTTTATATGTTTCACTCTGTAAACAATTACATCATTGAACCATCTGAATTATGTTGAGTGAGTGAATGGAGGTTCGTTAATGATATGAGCTAAGAAAAAATTGTACTTGGCATCTTTGAATTTCGAGAAAATAATTAAATGAAAAATACCGATTTGTTATTTCAACGCCCAGTATCTCAGAATCTGTTCATCAAAGAACTTTACGATTCTGCAGGTTCAATCAGTTCATCGAATTCTACAACATATTGAAAATTCAGAAGATTTCACCGAGAACCATTTTACGTACTAAAAGTGCGGGGTCCTTTGGTTGGAATTTCATCTCTGTTGACAGGTTATAAAATGTCACTTTTCATTAATTACTTTTTTCCCGGTTATACAGTGTTTCTCATTTCAAACGGTTCCCCCTCTATATCTCAGCTATCAGTAGTGCGATCTCTATCAAATTTGTATCGGTAAGAATAATCATCATTTTAGACAGTGCCGTGCATTTTTATTGAAATGAATAGAGGTCAGTTTTTTATTAAATCATATGAGGCATTTTTTCACAGGAAAACTGACCTCATAATGTTGTTCTTCATGGTTTCAAACCAACATATGTGGATTTTCATGAGATGTCTATGAGGGGTTTCAGAAAAACAGGCACATCTGAACAGCATTTTTGCGAACGTAATAATTATTTACTCGGAAACGGTGAGTTCAACATAAAAAAAGTATAACTCGTTCTTCCTCCCAAATCATGATTTTCCACCTACCGGAGCCATTGAATGTTCCAAAATTCGTAGTTGATTTGAAGTCACTATTTATTCGAGACTGGAAATGAAAAAAATGAAGCCAATCCCGTTAATTCGGAATCAGGTGATTTTTTGCATATGGAGGTTCGAAAGCATGAGGAACAATAGAATGAGGTTGGATTTCCTGTAAAAAATGCCTGATATGATTTCATGAAAAATTTACCCCTTTTTAGTCCAATAAAAAAGCACGGCATTGTCCAAAATAATGTGCATCTCTGTAAAACTGATCATATTGATGGTTATTCCACACCAAATTTGGTTGAAATCGCATGACTAATAACTGAGATATAGAGGGGGGGGGGGGCGTTTAAAGTGAGACACGCTGTATATCACATATATACAGGGCGATCCACGGTGGATGGCCTATTTAAAGTATCTGGAGAACGAAAAGACAGAACATTCTGAAAATTGGAATGCTTTGATAATTGAACATTCCCTATCCGTCCAAAATATTTTCATCGATACAGTGTTGCCACGTCTATTAAAAACAACTAGCAACTTCGTTATTTCAAATTGAGCACCCTGTATTTTATTGCATTTTTAGATTCTTCCTGAAGAGCTGATAATATGAAAACTGACATTTTATAACCTGCCAACAGAGATGAAATGCCAAACTTTTTTCCCGTCACAGAAAAAATGCAATATTTACATCACAATTGTTATAATTGATAATCCATGAATTGCCTATTCTGTTGGTTTATGGTCTATGCATCGATGTCATGTCTGTCATATCAAGTTGAAGTCTGTAAAGTCTGTCAGAAATATGTAATGAATCTGTAATGACTGTAATGTCTGATATAAAAATCTAGAGACATCCTAGAATATAGTAAAGCTAACAAATAAAGAAAACATCAAAACTTATTAATTTATTTTCAATAAACACAACAAAAACAATAAACTAATTCGATGTGACAGAAGTGTCGATGTCAAGTTAATTTTCGTTCTGTAACCTTAGATCATGTAACACATTGATTTGGATCGAGACTCGAGAGATAGACCGCTTGAAGCACAATTTTAAGAACGGCGCTCTCAAATATATGTGTGCGTGGATAAAATCATAAATACAATATCTTGGATACCTTTGCTCCCTTGATATATAAATAGATATTAACGAGATGACTGATTAATTAACTTCATTTTGTCACCCTTGGGAAAATATCATATTCCCCATAGTTCCGAAGAAATTCCATTGATTATTCTGGAATACTGGAAACAGAAAAAGTTGTAGTGTGTACTACCCCATTGTAGAAAAAATAATTTGCACTGCTATATCGAAAGTACGAAACCATAAATAATCGAACTTTTCCGTTCTGACCAGCGACGAGCCGAACGCGAAAATCATCCCGGACCACTTGGAGCCCGGGCTGGACGAGGAAAAGGCCTCGCGGCTGCACCTCGACCTCCTTACGCCGCCCCCCGAACCGCCCTCGAGGAAGAAGTCGCCGCCCAACAGGAGGATCACCGACCTCACGCCCCTAGAGATACAGCAAAGGTAATGGGGAAGTTGCCTTCAGATGAATTTTCATAAAATAAGTTCGGAACTCTCCAGTTTTATGTCACTTTCAAAGGGAAAGTCCTATTTCCAAACTAGATGGACGAAAACTGATGTCGGTGTCTGATGGTCAATTTTTATGACAAACTTGATAGTGAAAACCGCACATCGATATCTATCATCGTTTCAGAGTTATAGCATGTTTTCCGAAAATGTGCATTTTCAAAAACTTGTTGTAACTTTTTTCCTGTCAGAAATTTGTTGTTTCTATGAAAACATTTCCAAAGCACTTTTTCACTCAGGATTCAATGGTATAAGTAATTTATTTTTTCAAAGTATACATCAATAACGGAAAAATATCTTTTTCAAATGGGACACCCTGTATACAGGCTGATTTTAAAATGAGTGCATATATTCAGGACATATATATGAGAGAGTCTAACAAAAATTACTAAAATATTTGATTTTTCCTAAGTCTTCACATTAACGAGAAATTTCATTCTGAAAATTGAACATAAAATGCTTCGAAATTCGAGTACGCCACTGGGAAGCAAGTGAAATCTGCGGAATCCCAGGGAATCCCCAATTCGTCATTAACTAAAGTCAAAACAAGACAGTGATGCCAGATTGTTTCAGAGACGAATATCCTGATAAAAATTTGTCACAGAAAGAATATGAAATGAAATAGGTTATGGAAACTAATAGAGGTGAATGTAATATGTACAGGAGTCTTATTTTTTAAAGTTTACTGAGAGAACTGTGGGGTGATTTTCTCCATGGATCACGAGAGACGGAGAGAAACATGAGGGGAATGATAGAACGTCCCCCTTCCTTCAATTCGAAAATAAGGCCCCAGCGGGTGGATACAAAATTAGCAGACAATAAATAGGTACACAACATGCACAAAGTTGAAAACCGACTCACCTAGTAGATTTTCTCATACCTGCTCGAACAGCAAAACTCCCGAGAGCAAACAAATACTAATATCGAGTCCATTCCAGACTAATATCGTCCTGTGTTCTTGTTGGTTCATATTCGCACTTAAACCATCGAAAACGACTCGACGACGACATATCCTTCCCGGCAATCTCACATTGAAAATCACGATCATGAACATATCACGATTATCATGACACAAGACACAACATCCAATTATTCTATTTTTTATTTTACATTCACAATTATTTTACAAATCAGCAACCACACAAACAAAGCTATTATCATATGATCTGTCAACATCATTTCTCAGAACAGTAGTATCTGTGACCATAGATTTCCTCTTTGCTGTGACCTTTGACAGTACTAACTAGGATTGTTCGCGTTCAGAAAATAAACAATCCAAAACCGTCAGAAGCATGCACAAGTCCACAGAACCGAAAAAAATCATACAGTTCTGTGAAACTGCGCATGCTTCTGACAGTTTCGGACGCAAGAATTCAGATGACCATGAATTACTAATAGGCGATTTCTACGAACCAATCAGAAACAGCAAAGTAGCGCCTGCGTGGTTGCGATTCATCCTGATTGGACACAGCTGATTGGATTTGTGAGATTAGTGTATAGTGAGGAAGTATCATTTCATTGAATTAAACTAATAGATGTTTTTTCCAAATTAGTTTTTTATGAAAATGGTAGTTTCATTTAAAGATATGATCCTTCCTCACTAATACATCAATCTCAATCACCTGTGCCCAATCAGGATGAATCGCAACCACGCAGGCACTACTTTGCTGTTTCTGATTGGTCCGTAAAAGTCGCCTATTAGTAATTCATGGTCATCTGAATTCTTGCTGGTAGCACACCATAAGAACAATCAAAACAAAGATCCTTTCTTGACAGTTTGTTGTTCTGAGAATGTATGTTATTTTGGAAAACGTCAAAACATGATACTAGTAAATGTAAACAGTGTGGTCCTTGTCATTACTTTTGTAATAGATCTATATTACTATTCCACGGAGATTGTTACAATATTACGATTTGTCATGAATCTATTACTATTGGGTGTTAGCACCAAAATATGATGTTTTGTTACTGTTAGCACCAAAATATGATGTTTTGTTACTAAAAAATCAGCGGATAATTATGTTCTGCTCTATGGGTCTATGTTCTATATTTATGTCATAAGTTCTGTGTGACCTGCCTCATTCCTGCCAAAACTGTCTAATTTGTGCGATATGGTTTTACAAGAGTGACATTCAGAATGTCAAATGTCAGATTTTTAGGATCTATTACCTTTTGATACAAATCTGTTACCATTTTCCAAGAAAATCTATTACGAAAAAATCAGACCCAGGAACAGCACTGAATGTAAAGTTTTGTTTCTGACAATTTGCTTGGAATGTGACAATGCATTTCTCAAACATTGAGCTGAATGATATGGTTCTTATGTCGGGTCGTTATTGTGCGGGGCCCATGAGACTCCTCGAAGGACACGAAATTGTAGCGATGCAAGGAGGTGGAAGGAAGGGTCTAAAGGATTTTTCAGTAAAATAACTTCCAACCGTGAGGTGTTGAGTTATACGCTATTCGAGCTTATGTGTAGAAATCTTGGGTGAGTCCATTTTGAAGTTTTTGTATATTTTTTTTCTGAAATTCAAGACTAGGGTTAACTTCTTCCCCATGTACATTCTCTCGATTATACATTTTATTTAATATCTCCTAATTTTCATGTAGAGTGGCAACGTCGCTTCGTTCATCACGGTCGACTGTGGATCGCAAAGTTGTGACAGAAGTAGAAATCTGGGCGGAAAAAGGGTATTTTGCCCCAAATCTATTTTGATCCTAATAATATTTTTAATAGTGCTATTCGGTAGTATACCTCAAGCTTTCTTAGTGTTTAAAATATATGCACTTATTTTAAAATCAGCCTGTATATCTACATATTTCAATAGAGCTTGAAATCACCATTCCAAAAATATAGCACACTTGATATTTTATTGCAGTCATTTTTGAAATACAGTGCTTTTAAGTTTTTAGATGCGGCGATAAAAGAGAAGGCGAATATTTTTTCATCTCTTGGAGCGCACGAAAGGAAATTCCTATAGTGTTCGTGGAGCATCGTGCGTTCCTAGGGATGCTAGGGAGAGGAGGTAGGTGTTGTAATTTTCTTTGAACATTTGAAGGTTATAAGTTCTTTGGAATACTTCCATTGGCAAGGAATTCCAAAGCCGTCAAATTTCAAGAAAGCTGTCCATAGCAGTAATTAAAACTCATTTGTTCAACACAACTGAACTGAAAACAATTCAAATTATATTCAAAAATGATAAATAAACTTCAACAACAATACAGAAAGTAAGTCATAGAAATGTTGGAGGAGCCAAGTTCTTGTTCAATCTATTTTTTTCTGAAGTAAAATTTGACCTCATGAAAGAAAGAAAATATACGTTTATATTAATATTTTACAAACTTCACAGTGAGATAAAATCTTCAATATAAGAAACTTCCACATTGGACGGCTGTTCCGTTCGAACTGAACCGGTAGGTCGCGTGCACCATATTAGTTATTTATGTACCTAGTGCGTTATATAGTTATAAAGTTCATTCAAAATGTTGACTTAAATATAAATTAAAAAGATACATATTGGTATTGAATATTCCTGTGGTTTAATTTGTGCCAATAATAGACACATCTTCTCATATTTAGTGAAGTTCGTAGCTTCAATAAGATGATTTAATAAAAAATAATCATTGTTTTACTTCAAAAATACTTCACCTATATACAATATTTGTACAATATATATAGTGTTTTCAAACTTATCTGCCAATACATCTGTACAACAATAAACAGGGTATCAGAAGAGAACAAACTATATAGTAGAATAAAAATTGAAATAATTCTTCATAATTATGTACAATTTATTAAAAAAATTAAATTGTATTGCCATTCATACAATACATACAAGTTATATTCCAATAAAAAATTCTAAATATCCCAGCATCTTGACAAAGAACCCTGAACAATAGAATACCATATATCTGAGGATGATTCCTATACAATCTTGAAATCACTTTACTCTAGTGAAATTCTGAGTGGCTCACTACGAAAATGGTCCTGAGTGTGCTGGAGTGGAATATCACATGTTCCTCATCATCTAATTGATTGCTTGAAAAATGGATAAATTGAATATACATTGGGGTGTGTATAATTTGTAGCCTAGAATGAAATGCCTGGCTATTTCCAGCAAACAAATCGTTGTTCTTACTGCTTATCTGGATTCAGCTCATCGAACTACAGGATGAAAAGTTTCTGATTTTATTCACTGCCCCATTTTCTTGTGTGTTTTTTCATAAAATCTTGTGAACTGGATATTTTTGCAGCTCGACTTTCAAGGAGGTACCTATCTATAAAAAATATAATGATATTTTGTGTTTGGAGCAGAATATCCATGAGACATTGATGAAATAACCAGATTGAGTCTAACCTTAGTGCTTCTATATATTTATTTCAGATGGTAAACTTTCCATTCTGTTCTGGAACATCATCATCCTTCTGGTACATTCCTTCTGAACATTACTCACATAATGATTTCTAATGTGATACTTCCACATCACTCATAGTTTTCCGTTTTTCAACTGAAAAGCTATTAATGTAAGTACTCTTCGCTGTAGGTAGGTACCTGAAATTTTCAAGTATATAGTGATTCCGATGTGTACATGGTTTACATCACTAAAGACATGTTTTCACTGCAAATAATGGAATTTCGCGAATTATAGAGTAACTTATCAAAAATATAGAAGGAAAAAAGCAGCCCCTACCTTTCTGCTTGGCTTGCATGTCGAAAAAGTGTAATAGCACTATTGAGTTTCCGAAGTTTCCACAGTTCCAACTTAAATTCAAGTTGCATCATGAATCATACTAATACAGCATTGCCTAAACATCTTCCTGCTTCCATTCAAGTATAGGTAGATGGTTTTCATACTTGATAATATCCTTCGTGATAATGTTTCATTTTCGGGATTCCACATGACAGATTTTTATTTACAAACTTGACAGGACCATGAAAAATGTTACGGTTAGGTCTGACAAATGAATAACTTAGTTTACTTGGTTCACATTGATGTCTCTGTACTACTGAACGCCTTCATTTATTTTTTCAAAGAACAGACAATATTATGCTCTCGCCTACTAACTACCTAACTAGGTTTCCATTTAGATCGACAATGGTTTTAGTATCATGTATAGATCCTAACGCCCAATGGCCGTTGGAATCTAGTAACGCTCGTGGTGCATACAATATCTTATTTTTCACGCAAAAAAATATGGACCGATTCTATTCAAAATTGGTATCTGGGGGGTTTCGGGGTCGGTGATTGTAATTCTTTTGCCAAAATTTTGTAATTCAAGATAGAGGATCCAATATGTAAATATGGTAAGATTCTATCAAAATTGGTAATTGGGGGTTTCCGGAGTCGGAGATTATGATTGTATTCTTTAAAATTGGGAAATTCAAGATGGCTGATCCAATATAGCGAAGAACTTTGTGATATATTTGTATAATGAAACAGGCTTTTATGGATAGTCCAACTCGAGGTCAAACTAAAAAGACGTAGAAATAAAACAATATTTTTTTTTAATAAATATAGATCTAGAAAATGTTTTTGTCGAAATAATGTTGAGTTGAAACTCGTTAATCTCAGGGGTGCTTTTGGGTTACAGGTGTCCTCAATAAGAGAGTACTCGAGACGTTCCCAGATTTGTATAAACTTTATTTGGTTTTTAGACAATTTGTGTTTTAACACCCTGTAAATGAGACCAGCCGACACTTTGAACACTTATTGAAGAGTTTAAATGTACAACATAGGCTCTCTAAAATAGCAGAGTGCAAAAATCAAAAATTATCAGTATTGCATATGTTACTTCTTTGGTGGTTCAAAATAGAAGAAGCTAGTCTGATGCATTCACTCACTGCGATAAGGATTCCTGATAAAACAAAAAGAACAAAAAAAGTGGTTCCTACCAAAATATTAGATTTAATTATCTACCGAAACGGTACCGGTTGCGCCATCTTCCGACGGGTGAAGGGATCAAGGGATGACTGTAAGCACTCGAGGAAGCGTCCTTCTCCGAGGCGCGCGGAATATGCACGAAATCGTGGCACAGAGACCTGTTTTGCCACAATGTTTATGACAAAACAACGTATGCCGGGTCAGCTAGTCGATTTATAATAAGGAGTATGCTTGGCTCAATGGTTTGCGAGATATACTATTCAAATAGGCACTAATAGTTTAAGGGTAGCTGACTGTACGATACTATATTGGAACATAACAATATCTATTGAGACATGAAACATTATGGGTAATGATGAAAAATATAAACAAACAACAATGCATATTAAGACCTTATAACAACTCACATTATAATGACCAATACGACGAGTTCTTGTCAAATCAAGAGTAGCCCCAGACCAGACTAACTTTGGAACCTTCACATCCAATATAATATAATAATATACAACACTTTGTTAGACCTGTACGTTTCTCATGAGAGTTACTTGATCAGTTTTCATAGGTCAATGTCATCGGATGATTCGATCAACTTTATGTTCATAACGGTTCATAATACCCACATGGTACGTAATTACTAGTATACCGAGTGTTCTACTCATGACACTATTTTTACTCGAAATATTCATCGATTGAAATACTTTGCCTACCGTTTGAAAGTTTTGATAAACAATGTCATTCCCGAAATTATTTGGCAACAAGCTGTCTTAACAATCGCACGGAATAAGGGCCTGTTTATGCATTATTGTCTTAGTTTTAGTCTTAGTCACAGTCTTCGTTTTAATCATAAATTCAAGTTATGCGCATACATTTCAATAGGTCAATTCATGCACCATTTTTAGTGTCAGACTTAATGATAATCATTAAATCATGACCTTGAAAGTTACAAACTTTCAATTTTTATGCTTATGATTGGGACCACATATGAAATGCGCATGTGTCGACCTGTCAACATATTCGACAATCACATATGACTTAATTTTGTGTTTGTCACCAAAACATCAGTGCCATTCTGTGCTGTGTCAATTATTGATCCAATAAACTAGAGTGTCAAGATTCAAATAAATATATGAGGGACTAATTCCAGTGAATGAATCTCTATCTTTAGTTCTATGAAGGAAAACAATAAACTCAAATAATCCTCAAAATTATCTCAAAAACCTGCTACAAAACAAAATATTAGAATAGACAGTTGACATTATAGACACCTAAGTTGACACTTTTGACGGATTGTCATATCATAATTCTTAAGCCTTAAGACTGTGATGCATAAAGGTCCAAATGTAATGAGTTAATATTCTATCGACCTTGGTTAAGACTATGATTAATACAATAACTAAGACAAAGATGCATAAATAGGCCCTAACAGTCGATAATTTCTCGATTTCAGATTGGAGGCGCAGAAGAGCAACATCTACCACAGCTTCGTCGAGGACAACCTCATCGTCAAGCAGGGCGTGGTCGATAAGAGGAAGGGTCTGTTCGCGCGCAGACGCGTCTTCCTGCTAACCTTGGGGCCGCACCTCTACTACGTCGACCCCGTCACGATGACGTTCAAGGGAGAGGTGCCGTGGAGCGCTGACATGCGCACCGAGGCCAAGAACTTCAAGACGTTCTTCGTGCACACTGTGAGTGGGGGTGGAACTCGACGTTCCGGCTCTATTAGTAGGAGGCTCGAATCCGTTCTGCCCAAACATATACAGGCTGATTTTAAAATGAGTGCATATATTCAAGACATATATATGAGAGAGTCTAACAAAAATTACTAAAATATTTGATTTTTCCTAAGTCTTCACATTAACGAGAAATTTCAGTTTGAAAATTGAACATAAAATGCTTCGAAATTCGAGTACGCCACTGGGAAGCAAGTGAAATCTGCAGAATCCCAGGGAATCCCCAATTCGTCATTCACTAACGTCAAAACGAGACAGTGATGCCAGATTGTTTCAGAGACGAATATCCTGATAAAAATTTGTCACAGAATGAATATGAATTGGAATAGGTTATGGAAACTAATAGAGGTGAATGTAATATGTACAGGAGCCTTATTTTTTAAAGTTTACTGAGAGAACTGTGGGGTGATTATCTCTATAGATCACGAGAGCCGGAGAGAAACATGAGGGGAATGATAGAACGTCCCCCTTCCTTCAATTCGAAAATAAGGCCCCAGCGGGGAGATACAAAATTAGCAGACAATAAATAGGTACACAACATACACAAAGTTGAAAATCGACTCACCTAGTAGATTTTCTCATACCTGCTCGAACAGCAAAACTCCCGAGAGCAAACAAATACTAATATCGAGTCCATTCCAGACTAATATCGTCCTGTGTTCTTGTTGGTTCATATTCGCACCTAAACCATCGAAAACGACTCGACGACGACATATCCTTCCTGGCAATCTCACATTGAAAACCACGACCACGACCATATCACGATTATCACGACACAAGACACAACATCCAATTATTTTATTTTTTATTTTACGTTTACAATTATTTTACAAACCAGCTACCACACAAACAAAACTATTATCATATGATCTGTCAATATCATTTCTCAGAACAGTAGTATCTGTGACCATAGATTTCCTCTTTGCTGTGACCTTTGACAGTACTAACTAGGATTGTTCGCGTTCAGAAAATAAACAATCCGAAACCGTCAGAAGCATGCACAAGTCCACAGAACCCAAAAAAATCATACAGTTCTGTGAAACTGATTCAGATGACCATGAATTACTAATAGGCGATTTCTACGGACCAATCAGAAACAGCAAAGTAGCGCCTGCGTGGTTGCGATTCATCCTGATTGGACACAGCTGATTGGATTTGTGAGATTAGTGTATAGTGAGGAAGTATCATTTCATTGAATTAAACTAATAGATGTTTTTTCCAAATTAGTTTTTTTATGAAAATGGTAGTTTCATTTAAAGATATGATCCTTCCTTACTAATACATTAATCTCAATCACCTGTGCCCAATCAGGATGAATCGCAACCACGCAGGCACTACTTTGCTGTTTCTGATTGGTCCGTAAAAGTCGCCTATTAGTAATTCATGGTCATCTGAATTCTTGCTGGTAGCACACCATAAGAACAATCAAAACAAAGATCCTTTCTTGACAGTTTGTTGTTCTGAGAATGTATGTTATTTTGGAAAACGTCAAAACGTGATACTAGTAAATGTAAAGTTTTGTTTCTGACAATTTGCTTGGAATGTGACGATGCATTTCTCAAACATTGAGCTGAATGATATGGTTCTTATGTCGGGTCGTTATTGTGCGGGGCCCATGAGACTCCTCGAAGGACACGAAATTGTAGCGATGCAAGGAGGTGGAAGGAAGGGTCTAAAGGATTTTTCAGTAAAAGAACTTCCAACCGTGAGGTGTTAAGTTATACGCTATTTGAGCTTATGTGTAGAAATCTTGGGTGAGTCCATTTTAAAGTTTTTGTATTATCTTTCTGAAATTCAAGACCAGGGTTCACTTCTTCCCCATGTACATTTTCTCGATTATACATTTTATTTAATATCTCCTAATTTTCATGTAGAGTGGCAACGTCGCTTCGTTCATCACGGTCGACTGCGGATCGCAAACGATAGTTGTGACAGAAGTAGAAATCTGGGCGGAAAAAGGGTATTTTGCCCCAAATCTATTTTGATCCTAATAATATTTTTAATAGTGCTATTCGTTAGTATACCTCAAGCTTTCTTAGTGTTTAAAATATATGCACTCATTTTAAAATCAGCCTGTATATGCATTGGCGATTCCTATAGACCAATCAGAACAATCCGAGTAGCTCCTGCGTGTAGAATTGCTGGGTGCTACAATTAATCCATGTGCGGGCAACTGCTTGTGTTGACTAAATACTTTCTTGATATGTAATATTCATGATTGAGTTTTATCAATTCAGAATTTTTTCCACGACCTGTATGATGAATATCAATTATTCATCATGCACTATAAAACTTCTTTATTCTTCATACTATAATTTTCAAGTAAGTATGTGCGTGAAGCATTTGATTGTGCTCTCGAATTCCACGCCGCCGACCCGGGTTCAATTCCTTCGAAGGTCGGTTTTTTTTATTTCTGTCTCAAGTGATTTTCCGAAGAATATACTCTTTAGGACGAAGGTTCATTTAGGCCAAGTAAGGTTAGAATGTTCAAAGAGAGTAGTCTCTTATGCAGAACGGAAATTTTCCTTCCTCTCTAATAGTCCAGTCATTATAGACTTTGACCCGTGAATAATTTTTGAGTGGTTTTTTTTTTCATAGGTGTCTCGGGGGGGGTCACTGGGAGTGTAAATTCAAAATGGCGACCAAATCAAGCTTTTGCGTATGTTTTCTTGAATAACTCGGCCATTTTTGATTCTACAGAAAAAGTTTGGGGACAAAAATTGTAGTAAATTTTGTTCTCTACAAGTTTGGTCCTCACAATTTTTCTGATCGGATCGATATTTTGTAAATTAAACCTGAAAAAAGCGACAAATTATTTTCAACTTTACGGCATAAATGAAGAGGACTAAACTTGTGGAGAATCGAATTCTAAACAATTTTGGTTACTACGTTTTTGTTCCAAAAATCGATATTTTGGGAATTAAACCTGAAAAACGCGACAAATTCAAAAGATTATCATCATCTCCAGTGCTTCGCATTTTACGGCATAAATGAAGAGGTTATTCCGCGCAGGTAGTTTGTCTGTCATGTCGGTGTGAAAATATGGTTCCGGAACTATTTTTTTTACCAAATTTGTCCAAAATTTGATTCTCTACAAGTTTGTTTCTTCTCATTTATGGTGTAAAGTTGAGAATAAACGAGATAATGATGATATTTCGAATGAGTCGTTTTTTTTTTTAGGTTTTATTCCGAAAATATCGATTTTCGTAAAAACAGGTAGAGACAAAATTTGTCCAAAATTTGATTCTCTACAAGTTTGTTTCTGTTCATTTATGCCGTAAAGTTGAAAATAAACGAGATAATGAAAATATTTCGAATTTGTCGCTTATTTCAGGTTTAATTTACAAAATATCGATCCTATCAGAAAAATTGTGAGGACCGAACTTGTAGAGAATCGAATTTACTACAATTTTTATGTTTCCTGTAAATATGGATTGTAACCAGGATGAGCATAGCGAGATTTACCCACGTCAAGTATGTTTATCAAAGGTTTATCACAGTAGGCGCCATCGAGAAACTTGCAAACGACCTTCAATAGGGAGCAAGCGCACCAGTTAAATTTCTATAAATCATCAGATGATTTGCCCCAAAATGTCACTGTGTTTAAAGAATTTTCCTACCAGAGAGCCTAGAAGAAAAATTCACTAGCTTGTCAGTGACAATTTGTATTGAAAAAAGTTTGGAGAAGAGAAATAAAGGTATATAGAAAAAATATCAAATTTTCACTCATCTTTGGACATGAAAATGGTAAATTCAAGATCAATTAATGAAAACGGAAAAGCTTCAAGACAGATACGACTTCGCTATTAAAATAATCATTTCTTATGTTGAAAACGGGAGCAGAATCGGTCCCGAAACGTCCAAAGATAAGTGAAAATTTGATATTTTTTCTATATACCTTTATTTCTCTTCTCCAAACTTTTTTCAATACACATTGTCACTGACAAGCTAGTGAATTTTTCTTTTAGGCTCTCTGATAGGAAAATTCTTTAAACGCAGTGACATTTTGGGGCAAATCATCTGATTTGTCCTTACTACACGTATATTGAACTAATATTCATATTTTTATATTATAGAAACGAGGAGAGAAAATCCCAAAAAATTTGGAATAATGAACAGTGGTATGTCTAACAGTATTCACTCTAACTATTTCGGCAATGTTGATCAGACCAAAAATGTAGAATTATTGAAATTTATAGAATTAGAACAATTTATGAACAAATGAAAGAGTGCACATTTGTATAATTAATATTACTAAACGGGGATGAGAGTACAATGAATGCTTGATGATGGGCAAAACGGATTCGTGCTAGTAGGAGAGCCGCCTGCGATTTTCGACCGTCATTTGATGACGAAATAATATACAGGGTGCCCCTAAAAGGTGCAGTTTTATTTTAGGCTCTCTGATAGGAAAATTCTTTGAACGCAATGATATTTTGGGGCGAATCATATGATTTGTCCTTGCTACATGTATATTGAAATAATATTCATAATTTTATTTTATAGAAACAAGGAGAGAAAATCACAAAAAAATCTGGAATAATGAATGTACCACCTCCTGGATTAAGTTACAGACAGAATTTATAATTAAAATATCTGATACTTGAATAGAATTACTCTGAACCATAATCCGATAATGAGAAGTGTTCGTGGAGAATACAGTTTTATTGCATTTATTGCATTTTATTGTTTAATTGTTTTTATTGCACTTGTTCATTTATAAAAATATCAAGAAGTGTCAAATGCAGAAGTTGATTGAAACGACTGAAATTTTCAGTTATTTTTTGATGTTTTGATGAAAATGGCTAAACAAAATTGTTCACCTGCGACAGGTATTTTCTTTTACAATTCATGGCTAATTTCGGAAAAATATCTAGCTATCTTCGCACCTCACATGTTGGCAACACTGAATTTATCATTTTTATCAGTTTTGCCAAGTGTACCATAACATAATAATGGTATCCCACCTTACTGTTTCCTTGTGTATCATGTACCATAGTGACCGTCGTTGTCAAATGATAAACAATATTTTGAAGGTCAATTGTGACAATTGACCATATTTTATTTCAAACAGTTGCCATCAAATTGAGTGTCATTTCTCGAATTCATCGTCTTCCTCAATGTCAATTATAACGACATGTGTTTGGCAACACTGGATTTGTTCAGCTAGCATTGCCAAGTGTACCGGTATCGTGTACCCATAGAAATAATATTTATTATTATTCCTATGCGTGTACCATAATCATGATATTCCTATCATACTTTGGCCTTTGTGTATCATGTACCAAAATGACTCATCAGTGTCAAAATATTAAAGATAATTGTGAAAGCCAATTATGTCAATGGACCATATTTTACTTGGAAAGGATTATACATTCTGTTCTAGTTATTGACAGCAATTATTATCAAATTAAATGTCATTTCTCAAATGCATTTTCTCTTGTAAATGTCAATTATAATAAATTCTGATGAATGAAGGGTTCAGTTGAAGCTGTACTTGCTCTTATTTACAATAAATGATGATCTAACAGTTTTGATCTTTTAGAAATACAGTGAGCATTCACCCCGATATTATATACATTATTTGTAGCCATTCTCACAATATGAAAATGTCTTGTCCTTGAACATAGGTGAATTGTCAGATGAAGTACCTAGATTACCTAGGAGGATACTCACATTCATGTAATCATTTATTCAAATTTCACTAAATTATGTTTTATTTACAGCCAAATCGGAAGTACTACCTGGAAGACCCAGAAGGTTATGCACTAGAATGGTGCAAAGCAATAGACGACGTTAAAAGTTACTATTATCCTGAAAAAACTTGAGATAAATTGTTAGATCTGTAAAACTAGACAATTTGGCATCTGTGTTCCATTATTTATTCCTAAATTATTTGTATTATTATATCTATGAGTTAAGACTTCATTGTTTTATAAATGTATCAATGTCATTTACAACTATTTTTCATCATCACTAAAACTGGTGTATAAATAAATACTATTTACACTGGATTATTTACATCACTATTATTAAAAAATAATTAAATTATTTGAAATTTCATGATTTGGTTTCATTTATTTTTATCACTATTTGTCATCTGTCACTGTCAGATCAGGAGTTCATGTTGGCAGCAGCGATTCCAATATGGCGAATGTTAGTTCAAAAGAATAATGGTTGTATTTGCTGTGCATGTAAAAATGGATATTTCAAGTAAAAGCAGTTGATATTTGAGACTTTAGTGTGCAATTTTTGGGACGATAGTGAAGTTCATCATGGAGATAGTGTTCTGATATTTCAAGGTTAGTGTTATTATTTGTTTTTCTTATGGAGATTTCCATCTACACCCACTCATTTTATTAGAAGTCTTGGGAGTTTTTGAATAATTAGCAAAATCAGGAAAAGGTGTATGTATCATTAGAATTGATCCAACCATTATTCAACAAAAATCATCAAAACCCTTTGGTAAAATCCAGGTTCAAAAATAGTTGTTGATTGTTATGTCAAATCATTTGTTTATGACAGCACACTTATCTTTTTATTATTGTTTACTGTTTTCTTTCCTTTTGCTGAGCCGGCTCTTATCAGTTCATTTAATTTTTGAGAAGCTCCATAGTCTGTTTTATTGTTGGATTGACCATTTCGACTTCCACACCTTGGAGGATATGTGGCAATCAGATAGGCAGTTTGACTAAGGTATAGGTAATCATATAATATCCTAATCAACCAATTAAACGAAATAGTGATAGTTGACATCAGAAAATGCAGCAAACAAATCAAATTTGGCTAATGAATAGTCAAGACCATATTGTGATTGGTTTTCTTGTGCTGTTACTACTTATTACCAGATATCACCCCCAGGACAGGGACAGAGTTTGTGGTTATCAGGTTATCTTGGTAGGTAGGTACTAAATGAAATGTTTCATATGAATGTTTTGAATATAACTACATGATGTTCTAGGTGATAGGTACCTACCTACCTTCAACTGTTTTGAGATACAACACCAGTAGTGCATCAGTACCATTTATTTTGTGTATTAAATCAAGAAGTGTTCCAAGCTGGGTTCCAAGTGAGAATATCACATTTTTGAAACTTTGGCTCTCAGTTCCATAACTAATAGGTGAAATTATTTTGGTAGGTAGGTAGGTACATTATTCATGAACTAAATTCCTATCTCCCTTGGCACATGGCCCATCAGTAAAATTAACAGTCTACTTGTCTTCTCCGACAATCAACTTCTTGATTCAAGGCTACAAGGATTATCATCTTTACAATAATATTTGGAAATCTGATTTATTTCTGAACATTTCCTTTCTAAATGAACTTTGCAATACGTATTAGCCTTTGCTAGCTGAGTTGGTTGATATCTACAAAATGTCCTTAATATTTCATAAATTTTGAACCTGGAAGTTGTAAGTAAACTTTCTCAACAACATTGATAGATACTACACATATACTTATATCATATTATAATGATAAGTGCACTCTAAGACATATTCCTAAATGTTTTGAGCATAAACTGAAAAAAGACCCTCATACAAAACGCTCAAACTTCATCACTAAGATAGGTGACAAGGTAAGTACCAAATAAATTCAACCATCCATATAGATGTCAAAAGTCATGATATGACCAATAAATAATTAACATTTTGCATATTAATAATAACAGCTTGATTACTGATAACTTGAAAAATATAAGAATCAGTGAAACCATTTTAATTTTTTGCTCCAAAATTGAATAATTAACAACAAGGTCAAGTTCATGGCAAGACTCAGGTTCTCCAAATTCGATTAATGATTGACAGATTCGAAAATAGATTCACAAATTTCTGGCACACTTGAATTTAAAAGACAGTTTTTTCATAATTATAAAATTATGAATTTATGTGATTCAGTATTTTCAAGAGTTTTGTAGATAAATTTGTGAATTTCAGATGTTAATTGGGGTCAGTTTTCTCTTGGATTTGATGTGGAAATTTGTAAATATATTAATTTAGACCGCCGATCTTTTTTGGGGTGGGAAATTTGACAAATTTGAATTTGATCTCTGGATTTGGGGGAAGTTCCACAGATTCGAGATATTCGAGAATAGTTTCATAGACTCTCATTCACAGATTCGAGACATTCCAGAGAATGAATTTTTGATATTTGAGTTGGATAACTTACTGAATTTTTCAGCGATCTCCGATTCGAGAACGGATCTATCGTTAGAAGGAAAATTTACATAAATGAGATATCTGAAGGAAGATTCACTGATTCGAGATATTCGAGAGAAGTCTCACAGATTCGAGACATTTCTTATGGACTTTTGATATCAGATTTGAAAGACCGCATTTTTCTGGGATGAAACAATTTACAGATTCGAGATATTCTAGAGAAGTTTCACAGAGTCGAGATATTCGAGAGAAGTTTCACAGATTCGAGAGATATTCGAGAATAGTTTCATAGACTCTCATTTACAGATTCGAGACATTCCAGAGAATGAATTTTTGATATTTGAGTTGGATAACTTATTGAATTTTTCAGCGATCTCCGATTCGAGAACAGATCTAGCGTTAGAAGGAAAATTTACATAAATGAGATATTTGAAGGAAGATTCACTGATTCCAAATATTCGAGAGAAGTCTCACAGATTCGGGACATATCTTATGGACTTTTGATATCAGATTTGAGAGAACGCATTTTTCTGGGATGAAACAATTAGCAGATTCGAGATTATCTAGAGAAGTTCCACAGATTCGAGATATTCGAGAATAGTTTTATAGACTCTCATTCACAGATTCGAGACATTTCAGAGAATGAATTTTTGATATTTGAGTTGGATAACTTACTGAATTTTTCAGCGATCTCCGATTCGAGAACGGATCTAGCGTTAGAAGGAAAATTTACATAAATGAGATATCTGAAGGAAGATTCACTGATTCGAGATATTCGAGAGAAGTCTCACAGATTCGAGACATTTATGGACTTTTGGTATCAGATTTGAAAGACCGCATTTTTCCTGGGATGAAACAATTTACAGATTCGAGATATTCTACAGAAGTTTCACAGAGTCGAGATATTCGAGAGAAGTTTCACAGATTCGAGAGATATTCGAGAATAGTTTCATAGACTCTCATTTACAGATTGGAGACATTCCAGAGAATGAATTTGAATGAATTTTTGATATTTGAGTTGGATAACTCATTGAATTTTTCAGCGATCTCCGATTCGAGAATAGATCTAGCGTTAGAAGGAAAATTTACATAAATGAGATATTTGAAGGAAGATTCACTGATTCGAAATATTCGAGAGAAGTATCACAGATTCGGGACATTTCTTATGGACTTTCGATATCAGATTTGAGAGAACGCATTTTTCTGAGATGAAACAATTTACAGATTTGAGATATTCTAGAGAAGTTTCACAGAGTCGAGATATTCGAGAGAAGTTTCACAGATTCGAGAGATATTCGAGAATAGTTTCATTTACAGATTCGAGACATTAGAGAGAGAGGGTTTTTGAAATTTGGGTTGGATAACTTATCGAATTTTTCAGTGATCTCCAATTCGAGAATAGATCTAGAGTTGGAAGGAAAATTTACATAAACGAGATATCTGCAGGAAGATATTCGATTCGAGATATTCGAGAAAAGTCTCACAGATTCGAGATATTATGGACTTTTGATATCAGATTTGAAAGACCGTATTTTTCTGGGATGAAACAATTCACAGATTCGAGATATTCTAGAGAAGTTTCACAGATTCGACATATTCGCGAGAAGTCTCACAGATTCGAGATATATTCGAGAATGGTTTTATGGATTTTTGATATCAGATTTCACAGGCTGGCCGCATTTTTCTGGGATTGAAAAAAAATACAGGATCGAGATATTTGAGGGAAGTTTCACAAATTTGAGATATTCGATAATAGTTTAATGAATTTTTCAGCGATCTCAGATTCGAGAATAGATCTAGCTGTTTGAGGAAATTATTCATAAATGAGATAACTGATGGAAGATTCATTGATTCGAGATAAGTCTCACAGATTCGAGATATTCTTATGGACTTTTGATAACAGATTTGAGAGACCGCATTTTTCTGGGATGAAACAATTTACAGATTCGAGATTATCTAGAGAAGTTTCACAGATTCGAGATATTCGAGAGAGGTTTCACAGATTCGAGATATATTTGGAAATGGCGAAGAGAATGGTTTTATGGATTTTTGATATCAGATTTGACAGGCTGGCCACATTTTTCTGGGATTAAAAAAAAATGTACAGATTCGATATATTTGAGGGAAGTTTCACAAATTTCGGGATATTCGACAATAGTTTTATGAATTTTTCAGCGATCTCCGATTCGAAAATAGATCTAGCGTTAGGAGGAAAATTTACGTAAATGAGAAATCTGAAGGAATATTCACTGATTCGAGATATTCTTATGGACTTTTGATATCAGATTTCAAAGACCGCATTTTACTGGGATGAAACAATTTACAGATTCGAGATTATCTAGATAAGTTTAACAGATTCTCGAGATATTCGAGAGAGGTTTCACAGATTCGAGATATATTCGAGAATGGTTTTATAGATTTTCTATATCAGATTTGACAGGCTGGCCGCATTTTTCTGGGATTGAAAAAAAAAATTACAGATTCGAGATATTTGAGGGAAGTTTCATGGACTTTTTTTATTTTTTTTAGAATTTTATTCTGACCGCATTTTTCTGGGATGAAAACGTTTACAGATTTGAGAATCGATCAACCAATTTGTTTTACAATCTATGGAAGATTCACAGATTCAAGATATTCCAGAAAAGAATCATAGATTCGAGATATTCGAGATTATATAAGTATATATACCGGGTGTTTCAGATTCGATCCTCACCATTGGAATCTCGGAAACTGTAAGAGATAGGAAGATCGAAGATGGTTGAATTGTTGCGCATTTACCTAACTAACAATATGGCGTTTAGAAAGTTTCGAAATTCCAAGTACGTCTGGAAAATAGTTTAGCCGCAATTTCGGTCTAAAATAGGTCCAGAACTGAAACTTTCACTTTCTGAAAAAAAAAAAA